GAACCATGGTTAACTCAGATTTACTCCCTGGGCCCCACATATATTAAATTGTGCTTACCTATCCCATGAAGTACAGACAATATATAATAATCCAGATTTTAAAGCTACATTGCTATTATCTCTCATCTTTAGCATATTGCCTGACTTCCATACTTCTGATGGAAGTTGCATTTAACATCTAGAGAACCATCCATTGTCCATCCCTGCCATAAAGTATTTATCTGATAAATTCAAAAACTACTTGTTGCCAGGAGCAAAACTTCTATAAAAGGCTAACTTTGATCCAGGGTGAAAATTTTTGAAAATATTTTCTATATAGACATAGCAGCATTAAGAATTTTTATTTTAAAACTATATTTAAATAAATCAGGTGAGGGACAAAGCTCTTTGCTTAATATAAGCACTCCCTCTACCTGCAAATCTCAAGAATGGCAGGGGTTGAAATATGAAAGTTTTAGAAATAGCCAATTAGTAACAAAGAACAATATAATCAGAGAAATACAACTACATCTTCAGCTCAGAACTGGCTGAGGCTAAAACTGGGGAAGAGCAGCAAGGAGGAAGGCTTTATAATCAGTAGACTCAGCCCTATTGGTTACTGGACAGAGTAAACCCTACGTGACTGCTGTCTCCACCAATCGTGGAGAATAAATCAATGTCTAGAAAGACTTATTAAGACATTTATAAAGAAGATTGTTATGTCTTATTACCCTGATTAGTCCTATAATCTCCAATATTTTAAATTTGTAAGCTCTCTAAGTTGAATTCAGTATAGAAATAGCAACAAATATTTTTTAATAATACTGGTACTTATGCTGAAATTCTGTGTTGTAAAAAATTGTGAATTTTTGTCTAGAGGATTGACAAAAATTGGCAATTGTCCTTCTCATTCTGGTGTGTTATCTATGTTTTGAAATTCAGAGATGGACGACCGCTAACAGATGATGAAATTGCTGGGATGCTTATTGGATTGCTCTTAGCAGGCCAGCATACATCTTCAACCACTAGCACTTGGCTTGGCTTCTTTTTGGCTAGGGACAAATCAATACAGGAACAGTGTTATGAGGAGCAAAAAAATGTGTGCGGAGACGATTTATCACCATTGACCTATGATCAGGTTTGAAGGCTGTTACTCCTTTTTTTATTTACCAATATAGCTTTTAAATGTATGTATATGTGGAATCAGAGAAAATTTGCATTAGTGGGATAATATACTATTCTAAACCTGCAAGGTTTTTTGCATATGGATGTTAAGAAAAAATGTATTAAACAAAAAATTCCTGTATGAGTGTTTATAAAAGTATTTTTGGTTGGCAACTGATCATCTATATTCTTAACCTGAAAGTGGGTGTCCAATTCCAATGCTTGTTTCTCTCTCCCCCCCCTCTCGCTTTCTTTTTTTCTTTCTTTTCTTTCCTTTCTTCCTTCCTTCCTGTCTAGATTTTGCAGTGAATATTATGTACAAATATGTCTAACTAGTTATGTATATTACTACCAATACTAACAACTCATTTCTATTTCTTTGCTGAGTAAATTCTTCTGAATGCAATTTTAAGTCATAAGTAGGTATTACTTTCATGCTTGTATCAAAGTTATTTGGTTCATTGAAGATTTTCAGTATCAACTACACGTACATGTAATCATAGCTTATAATTATATACATTTAAAAACATTCTAAATATAAGAAATTGTAAATACATTTTTTTTAGCTCAAGGATTTGAATTTATTGGATCGTTGCTTGAAAGAAACATTAAGACTTAGACCACCTATTATGACCATGATGAGGATGGCTAAAACTCCCCAAGTAAGAAATTTGGTTTATATTGAATATATATAGTGTAAATAAGAATAAATACCTAAGGTGATATTAAAAAAATAAAACTTGTTTGCACATGTTGCAATACCCAACTAGGTAATGTTATCAGTGCAATAGTATAGGGGTTGTTTAAAGTAATTTTCCTTTCAGTATTGGTTGGCGGTGTACATTTCTCTTTAATAGTTTCTTGATTAGGCTGTTGTTTTTCTGTTTGATAGTTTATCTGGTCTTAATCCCTGCTTATCTAAATATTGAGAGGAAATGTTCTCGTTTTTTGTTTGTTTTCTTCTTAGCTTTGTTATTGTCTCTTTGGAATTGTCTATAAATGTAGTTTATTCTGCTATTGATAGTTGTCTCTGAATCTCAACTCCTAATGTATCTTCTTAGTAATTTAGGCATCATTAAGCTTTTATGTTGTTTTGTCTTTAGACTGTTGCTGGTTATACAATTCTACCTGGTCATCAGATTTGTGTATCTCCTACTATTAACCACACATTAAAAGATTGTTGGATGGAAAATTTAAAGTTCAAACCAGAACGCTACCTTCAAGATAATCCTGCAGCTACAGAAAAGTTTGCATTTGTGCCATTTGGTGCTGGTATGTTTAGTTACTACCTCGCTATATTTCCAACTTCTAATTTTATTGCAATGAATAGTTGATTGCAATTTATCTTTGGAGTTGTCTAGAATTACATAGTATTAGTCCCTCCCATCCCCCCAAAAGCAGCAAAATAACCCATGATTTGAACTAATAAACTGGAGCTGTCGGACAGACATTCATTGTTAGGGAAAAAAGGTTACCACACCCAAAGTAGTTATTGCTAATGTTTCAAGTAATTAAATGTATTTGCAAATTCAAACAGTCCTATTAAAAAAAGTTGTCCTGTTGAAATCAGTGATGAAAATACTTCCAATGATTGGCTTAGTTTATATGGAAGTATGAAGGAGAGGTGCATTTTCAGTTTACCTGGCTCACCTGGCTATGCAACTCTTAACAACCAGAGCCAATCCTGGAGATTTCCCTCATTCCCAATAAGCCTGTATTTTGTGGCACACACATAACATGGCCACATGTTTACTCATGTTCATTGGCTAAAGCTATTCCCAAAAGTTCATGGCAAGAAAAAAATTAAGATTAAATTGAATGAGATGTCTATAGGGTAAGATGTTATTAGCTATTTTGCACACACTCACATTTTTGGCACCCAACAACAAAAAGGTTAGCCATCACTGATCTAGAATGAGATTGTTTTTTAAAACCTGATTATAAATCAGAATGCATAGAAAAGTAGTACTTGACTTAACAGTTCATTTAGTGACTGTTTGAAGTTACGGCACTGAAAAAAACTTATGATCATTTTTCATACTTATGACCATTGAGGCACTTAACAAATGTTTTGCTTAGCAACGTAACTTTTTGGACTCAATTGTGTTCATAAATTGAGGGCTACTTGTATGAAAGATGAATGTATACCGATGTACCTTTCTCTCTGTCCATGAATGTCATATACTTTTTCTAGAATCCTTGTGACGCAGAAGCACCATCTTCTTTTCGGTACACTGCTCCTTCAAAGATCATTCATGGGAGCGGATGAGGGTGTGTGTGAATAATTTTCTGGTTGCATTTTATGTATAAATAATGAGAATTCTAGGTTGTTTTTAAAGTACACTAAATAACATGGAAACAATTTTTAAAAACGGAAACTCAATGTGTTTTTATCCTTTTAGGTCGTCATCGCTGCATTGGAGAGAACTTTGCATTTATTCAGATTAAGACAATTTGGACAACACTTCTGCGTTTATATGAATTTGATTTAGTGAATGGATACTTTCCTGCCATAAATTATACAACTATGATCCACACACCTACTAACCCATTAATTATATATAAAAGGAGATCACCAAATGACACACATACATTGTAGAGAAGCTTTTCTAGTACAGCTAAAAAGAAGCTGAGAGTTGCTCGTAATTTGTAAAGAAAAATTGAAATTTTGTGTTATAGTTTACCCTTTTTTAAAGTTTCAGTAACTTGAATGTGTTTGAGCTAATTTTTCTTTTTAAGTAAAACTCTTACTAAACATAATTTGGAAAGCTCAAACATAACATGGGTGAAAAGAGACTGGTTCATAAGGCACAAAAGATGCCATAATTTAAACATGGGAAAAAACCCATAATACCATCACTTTTTAGAAATACAAAATCAATTTCAGGTTGCTATAACTTTGTAGATATTGGCATAGTGAATTTCTGTATGACTAACAAGACTCCTTCCTGGAAAACTGCTATTAACATGCTTACCAGAAGTGATATTATTTCTTCTAAAATAAAATTTGAATAGTTTTTTTAAAAAAGTTTAAAATCATAAGGGAAAATCAAATCTTGTTCTCTTAATGACTGTGATGCCTGATGCATAATAAGTTAATATAAAACAGGGTCTCTTCCAAGTACCATATTAAATATTTGCTATTGAAATATGTCAACTCTCTAAGAAGAAAATAGCAATAAAATCTGCAGGATTTAAAAAATAATTTGTTCAAGTGATGACTTATTAGTAGCTCTTTTGCAGAAACTAGGAATATTCAGTCATTGGAAAGTGAGTAGGGATATTGATTTGTTAAAATGGTTAGTGAGATATTAGTAGTTCTGCAGAAACTTGAAATGTTTAATCATTGTTATGTAACCGGGTATATAGAATGAACAGTGGAGAAATATTGTCATTTAACTATTTGACCTTCAGTAATGTTTTTAATTAAAGAGAATGAAAACTGATCAGTACTGTACTATACTTGTCATATATCATCATGTATCGTAAAAAGGTGGATTTTTAGTATTTCAATCCAATTCATTCACTTTTTAATATTCTAATGGAATATATACTGTATTATTAGAATAGATAGAAATGGAATTTTATATATATTAGAATGTATTCTAGTATTCAGACAAATACACAACAATTCTTCATTTAAATGCTATCGTCTTTGCGGCAACAAGTTTCTGTTAGCTTGGGTCTACTGTATTTATAATCCCAAGAAAACTATTCTAAAGTTGAGTTTTTTCTGTGAAGGACTGATAAATGTAGATGTCAATACAAATAATTATATTCAAGCTTTTAAAACAACATTTTCATTAATTTTATAATCGGAACATAAAAACCCATTTTAAAATAGTGTCAGACACGTATTAAAATGATGAAATCATCTTTATTTCAGCACTTTGACAAAATAACCAGAAAATCCAAAGTTCTACCTGTACAAAAATAGGTCTCTAGAAGTGATATTTCTCTCTGCGATGCCAGTAGCAAATAGAATAAAATTGTGAAAAGTCCTTCACTTAGACCTTATTGGGGGGGGGGGGGGGGGGATTTGTGCTCCTATGCATTCAGTAATATCAATACTTAAAAAGTTTCACCCTCTAATCCATTTGATAAATACACACTTTAATAATTTAAGTGTTTAAATTAGCATTCCACAAATATACATGAGATTTAATAACCAGGCTCAAACAACAACAAAAAGTGCCTAACTTTTTACATAACTTATAATCTTGGTGTGGTGCCAGCAAGGTCAGCTGCATACAATTGTTGAACTGTGTTCATGTTGGTCCCACAACATTGTACAAAAGCACAGCAGCAGGATAATTTGCAGAAGGCATTTCATTTTATGTTAATATTGGTGGGAAAAAATATTTCAAAGATTATCTTCGGAGAGCAGAATGCAGCTGAATTTGTGAAGATGCTGTGGGGCAGAAAGACAAATATTCAGAATCTTAAAAACCTTGTACAATCAACATAGTAACTACTGAAAGCAGCAATACAGGTGGTGCTCAACTTATGACCACAATTTAGCCCAACATTTTTTTTGGCTAAGTAAGACAGTTGCTAAGTGAAGTTTTCCCTATTTTATGTCTTTTCTTGCCATAGTTGTTAAGTGAATCACTGCAGTTGTTAAATTAGTAATACTTGTTAAGTGATTCTTCCTTCTCCATTGACTTCGCTTGCCAGAAAGTCTCAAAAGGTGTTCATGACCCTGTACCCTGCAGCTCATAAATATGAGCCAGTTGCCAAGCGTCCAAATTTTCATCACATAACCATAGGGACAATGGTTGTAAACATGAAAAACTGCCGTTACTTTTTTCAGGCCCGTTGTAACTTCTAACAATCACTAAATGAACTTTTAAGTTGAGGGCTACATGTAGTAGAACTTAGTCTGAGTACCAGATGAGGAAACTGCAACTAAAAGAACAGTGATATTTACCTGGCTGTACCTGGCCAAGTCGTCTCTGTAGGGACTTCAGACGATTAAAATAATCTGTTAAAGATCCATCAGGATCGTAATTCTGCAGCTGAGAAGATGCAGGGGATGCTGGGCTGACATCAGTATGGACGCCCTGATACCTTAGAAAAGAGAAACACAAAAATGTTACTGAATGTTGCAAAATATCTGGCAGTTTATAAATACTGAAAATAATCCAATTTCCTAAACATTAGAAAAGTAAATATATACTGTAATGCCCTGAAGAAATGCAATTTATCAATTTACACTTACCAGGTATTTTTCCTGTCCATTAACATTAAACAAATTCTTACTTGGCATCATTGATATGCATCTTTAAAAAAGCATTGCAATAAAAGATTCAACAAAAGAAATTGAGGCAGGTTACATTGAAAAGTAGTCTACAATTATTACAATTGCACTTGACATATGTACTATTTGAAGTTCTTGTTGACTAGCCACAGAGGCTTTCAATTGATAAATGCACTAATAAGGTAAAAGTTTTCCTCAGTTGTGTCCGACTCTAGGGAGTGATGCTCACCTCTGTTTCTTGGTGAGGGAGCCAGTGTTGTCCAAAGACAATTTTGGCCATCACGCCAGGATGGCTATACACCAAAGGCACATAGAATGTTGTTACCTTTACACCGAATTTGGTATCTATTAATCTACTTGCATTTGCATGCTTTTAATCTGCTAACTGGGCAGGAGCTAGGGCAAATAATGGGAGCTTATCCCATTGTGCGGAGCTCAGGTCTTGAATCTGGGATGTCAACTGCCCACCTGACAAGTTCAGCGTCTTTAACCAATGAGCCATCACATCAGAGGTGGATTGCTACCAGTTGGCACGGGTTCGTGCAAGCCAGTAGTGGAAATCTGGATTGGGTCGCCCAACCAATAGGGATGGCAGACTCACCACACCGCAAACTGGTTCCCCGGCCTGTTTTTTTAATCATTTTTGCATGTTCTGGGCAATTAGCAGTCAACTGTGCGTGCACGCACAGTATACATCTGGTATGCGTGTAGTGAACTGGCAGCAACCCATCCCTACATCACATCCCTAAAATACACTAACATAGCTTATAAAATAGCATTCCCATAGTTCAATACTATTCACTTAATACATTTTGTCAAGACATATTATTTCCCAAAGTTTCCAATATTTAAAAATACACCAGTTAACTAATGCATCTTATTAAAATGTTTTCCTACATACACAAAACAAAGATTTCTGCTGATTTAGTTTTGATTGCAGCTCCTTTTGCTGAGTTATAGATTTCCCCAATCTTCAGAAACTACTTTTAGTAATGCAAAATAAGATAAAGTTGGAGAACTTTTTAGCATACAAAAATTCTACTATAAATCAGTTAGTGGAACAGTAGAATATCTGGTCCAATTCAGCACAGGCCTGAGATGTATATGATATGTAATGGAAGACAGTTTCATAATATACTTGGGGAAAAGTATATACTTTCCAGGTTCAAATTGCAAAAAATACTTTACAAACCAATAATAAGTACCACTGAAATACTATGCCAAGTAGCAAAGATTCAGATCAAAATATTTCTAGCAATTTCCAGAGTCACTAAGCATGTGCATCTGGAGAACTAATAAAATTGTTTTGTCAGCAACATTTTATACTGAGAAACGGTGTATATGCTCTAGCAACCTGGTATTTGAAATGCAGGCAGTGAGCATATCTACATTTACCTATTTTGATAAGAAGAAGGAGATCTGAGAGATTCCAGTTCTGATTTGGATCTATAAGAAGCAGCTCTATGTTCTCCAGAGAGTTCCAGACTACCAGAAAATGAATTGGACTGTAACTCGTTATCTACACAAAGAACAAAAATAATCTTATTTTAGAACTCAATCAGCTTTTTAAAATATTTGGCAGATGGAGACTTTTTGTTAAAAAAGCCTATAAATATTCAGATAAATTCTCAATTTTTTTGGAGATAGCTTTTGGCATAGATACAAGAACAATTAGAGTATAAGATTTTATTAATCATGCCTCCAATGATTACTCATGTTAGCCAAATATTTTTTTTAAAATTTCCTTAGTATTTTGGAAAGAATAAACAGATAACTTCTAATTCAAACAGCAATAGGTATCAAATATTTTTACAATTATACAATATGGAATAATAAATACTACATAATTCAATTAAAATCAATTAAAACTGAAAGCCTTAAATAGTTGCCATTTCTTGATGAAATGACTTCTGAAATGTCATATGAAACATGGAATATGTGGTGATATTTCACTCTTCTTTTTCAGAGGAGATCTGAAACTGAATCTTACAATAGATACCATGTTCTTATATAAATGTAGTCTTTGATTTACGACCACAATGGAGCCCAAAATTTCTGTTACTGAGACAGTTGTTAAGCAAATTTTGCCTCATTTTGCCCCCTTTCTTGGCACTGTTGTTGAATGAATCACTGCAGTTGTTAACTTAGTCACAGTGGTTAAGTGAATCTGGTTTTCCCATTCACTTTGCTTGATGGAAGGCTGCAAAAGGTGACAACATGACCAGGGACATTACAATCATCATAAATATGAACCAGTTGCCAAGCACCTGAAATTTGGACCACATAACCCTGGAGATGCTGCAACAGTCATTTAAGTGTGAAAAACAGTAATGTCATTTTTTTCCGTGGCGTTGAAATATTTACCTGTATTCTGGCTAGAAGTTTCTAGGTTTATGCCAGTTAAATGATAAGCAGTAACTCGTTTCCATTTTTGAACCAGCGACTTCATTCTGCATTTATAATAAAGGGAAATATATTGTAATATTTAGGACATCTGATATGAAAAATCAATAAGAAGTAACACATTTCATGTCCATATATGAGAAATTCTTGCTTAGATATAATCGATTTCTTAATTTACTATCTGCTTATTTGCTTTCTAAATATTCCCTATATACTTTGGAGAATAGTTTCCTAGATGGAAGGCTTAGCATTTAATTACCTTGTTTCAACCATTTTATCACTTTAAATACATAATCGGTTTTATATATGTGTTATTAAGAAGAATTGAATCTTTTATGTCTTACCTTGAAATTGCAATTAGCGCTATAGCAGCTGAGCGAAATCGGGTAAAACTTTTTGAATGGTGTGTAATGGCCTCCAGTTGAACGAAGGGAGGCTGCCCATCCATTCTTGCAAGAACAGTTGTAGTGAATTCTTCACACTGCTGAAACCCATTCAATAAGAGCAGCAAATATTGCTTTTGATAGATGAGAGCCTTTCGAAAGCTCTCTGCTCTCAGATATTTTGCATAAATTATCTAGAATAGAAATTAAATACAGTGAGAAATTACACATTGTGAGGTGCTACATGCAATCATGAAGAAGTTGTTATTTTATGGCATTCAGTCCACTTTATCATCTAATAAAATAAATTTTGATGATAACTTATGTTATTATGTTATTAGATTAGTATTCTGAATTGCTCGTGTTAGTAATACAGCATGGATGCATGAGATTTCCAATCATAAGTGGGCAAATACTTTCTTCTGAAAATCAGCTAGATATGGGAAGTTGACTTTTCCTTCAATTTAGTCCAGGCATATTATTTGGGCAAGGGATTTAATTCAGGTCTCTCTCTTGCTAGTAGGCTACGCATCTTTTACTGATGCAATCATGTCACAGAAAGGAACAAGAGAAAGAACTTTCAGACCATTTTATACTATATTTCAGAAGGAATGAAAATAAGAACCTTCCCATTTTTAAAATCTTCAAAATCTCAATTGAGTAAAACAGATTGCACCAAAGCTCAAGCATTTTGCTACCCAATTTGTGAGGTTCTATAAAAAAATATTGGTACCGAAGAATGGTCACAAATAAGGGTGCCACATTTCAGGTCATTTGATTTCAGATTGCCATAAAAAGCAAATCAGTGCAAGGTTTAATAACAGAAAAAATGGTCCAATAAGTAGGTAAGATAAAGCTTTTCACCTTTAAAGCTGCATTTTCAGACTCTGATTCCAGTTCTTTCAAGAAAGCTTCATTTTTTAGTTCTTTAAACTTCGTTAATTTAATTTCTGAATTCTTTAGAAGACTTAATTTCTCTTTATGCCAGATTTCTTTTTCAGATGTAATCGGTGCATCATTATTTCTTCCATTATGTAATGACTGCAAAATTTCAAAAGGAACATAAATAAGTATCCAAATTAATGAGAAGTAATTACAACCTATTCCTTGTTACTAAGAGATAATAACAAATGTAATGTACACAGCCAAATTATGTACAATAGTCAAGAAAGCATTTATAGAAAGATCTTAGTCATTCTTTCTGGCCTCACTTATCACTGGTTGAATAAATATGGAAATAGTAATAGTAATCATTATCCTTAAGACCTGTGGAAAAACTGAATGCTGAACTCTACAACTTAAACATATTTGGCTCTTATATAGTGTGTGTGGATGCAACATAGGGCAAGCCTAGTAATAGGATGTGCTTGCCTCCCCATTATGCTTCTGTAGATTGATTACCTATTACCATAAAATGATTATTTGTGAAAATTAGTCCAAGAATATGCAATTTCATGGAAAAGTGAACGTTCTTAAGTAGCAACCACTGCTTCTTCACTATGGAGTCTGCATAAGATTTCAATCTAAGTACTGAATTACATATCCAATTAAAATAAATTACTTTTTATATGCATAAGATCTAAAATATAGATATTAAAGGGAAAGCTGAAGATTTTTATACTGCAGAAATTAAAATGATATCCTTATAATGAAATCTCTGTAAATTACTTCCACTGGAAGGAAATCTACCATTAGTCTGTTTTCATTTTTAAAAAAGGCGCCAGTTAAATGAAACAGTTCTTATTTAACTTTACATTGAGCTTTCAAGTTATTTGACAGTTTGGCCAAACAAATAAGTACTTAAGATGGAGTAGAAATTGATATAGTTTCAAAGGATGGAAAAAACGTACTGAGTCTCCACAAGGTCCTTTGCCTTTATAACTTCGAAGTTCCTTTTCTAGCTTTATCATTTCTTGCCTCATAGCCATCTTTTCTGATCCCAATCTTTTCACAAGCTCATTCAATTCAGAATACTGTTTTAGCAGTCCTTCAATCAATGAGGCTGAAGATGGGGAAATTGAACTAACCTATGTAGGGAAAAAATAGCAAGTAAAGCAGCTCAGTAGCTTGAACACATCTGCAATTAGGAAACATATTGCAATACTGCTTTCTAAGAAATGGAAGCCAAATCAAACCACAAATATAATGCATATTTACATTGCATACAAAATCTATTGCTTCTTTTCAAATAAGACTTCCATGAAAGATTGTACTTTGCTTTATGTATTTGGATTCATTGTAAATTGCCTGGATTACTTCACATGTGGGAAGAACTGATTCAAAATTCTAGTTTCAAATGGTAAATAAGAAGTAAAAACCCAACTATACTCTTCCAAATTACAATGTTAAAAACAGTCCATATGATTTAAAACAGGAAAACAGAAGTTATCTTATGCTTTGCAAATATATACAAATTCAATTTAAATAAATCATTTTCAATCTTAAAAATAAGTCTAAATAAGTATTTCTGTTCCCTCTCCCTGAACATTACCTCCACACTATATAAATCAGCGAGCACTTGCAATTTTACTAGAACGTCTTCTATGTCATGTTGTATTCCAATTAAATCTTCATCATCTGATTTTTCAAAGGGTAATCTGGAATAATATATAAATATATATCTATATATCTGACATTTATGTAGCACAATTGACAATGAAATACACATAATCATTTTTCCCCTCTCCTACTGTAATGGTTTTCTTATGTTTATCACAGATTATAAATGCCATAGGTTCAATAATAATGTTTTGTGAAAGAAGATACACATAAAAGTTATTACAAAACAAGGATTATGATTATAAAGCAATCCAAGCTAAGTTAAGACTTAGATTTAAAATGTACAACATAAAATAATGGAAAGTAAACGATACAACTATAGTCATGGCTTAATACTGTAAAAATGTAAAGACTTCCTTCAGAAATTGTTATTTTTATTTATAACTTTATACTGGCTCATAACCTGCTTCCCATTGCTCACATCACAAACTCCTAAATTGTAATATACTCGTTATATAGAAGTTTTTCATCATTGTATTGCTATTAAAAAGAAATATATCTAACCTGCAAGCAGCTTTATTGGCCAAGGGTTTCAACTTGGAAGACACATTGTTGATCTTCTGCCGAATCATCTCAATCTCTTCAGATTGTCTGGAGGCATCACCTTCTCCTTCTTCTCCAATGCCCATTAAGGAAGAGTAAGATAATTCTTTTGTTTCAGCTGCTCCCATTTTCTGCTGGAAAATCCACTTTCTTGTTCGCTCACTAGATTCTTCTGAAGCAACCTGCACATGAAAGTATGCCGAGAAGGTGTAGGGGAAGCAGAGAAGAAAACTACTTTCTACTAATTATATGAAAGTTCTAAAGTCAAGAAAATATATTTTTAACTATGTGGCATTTGTATTTTTTAATACAAATACTTTTATGGAGTAAGTGTATCTATGGAGATCCCCAATCATCTGAGTAATAGTGTCCCAAAGGTGCTTTTCCAAAAGCAACTGGACTTTCTTGGTTTTAATGATTTTAAGGAAAAAAAACCCAAGTTTCAGTTCACATTTGGGACTATTGAGTAAGAGCTTTATTTAAAATCTATACTTACTTACATTATTAAAAATAAGATAACTATTATATTGTTATTCCTGATCATTTATATTGTATGTTAGCTGCTTTGGGAGGATTTGTATTCTGAATTGACAAAATATCATATTAAAGAACATATATTGTGATAAACAACTGTTCAGAAGATGATGTGTGTGTGTGTGTTGGGAATGGAGGTAGACAAGTACTTTTAGAATAAACAATTCTAAATAAAAGATTAACACGTGATAGTCTGGTTTATCTTATTTTATATAAGTCTGCATGGTCACAGACTCTCCAGCTTTTAGAACAGTTATTTATGTATGCAACAGTTCTAAAATCTAGAAAATCTATGGCCGTAAAGAATAATTTTAAAATTTGATTAATCTTTACATATTTCACATAATATTTTTAACTATACCCATTTAATGGGCTTCAAATACAAAATACAAAGTCAACCACATAGATCCCTATACAACATAACTAAACAAACATTTATAGATATTACTCATTGTTCACCACTACACCATTCTTCTCCACTGTTTAATATTACTGCTACTGCAATTATCACTCTTTCTCCTACTACACCTACTCCTTGTGAATACTACTATAGAACAATTATCTCTTTCTAGCTGCTTCAGATTGCTTTACTCCACAAATGGAGACATATCTTCTTCTCTCTCCCAGGTCCATTACACCCAGCTGTCTTTCAGCATAGCTTTTATTCTCATGCCCGCCGGGAAGAGGGCTAAAGAGACAGGACAATACAGCACAGATGCTGAGTATTTGCTGGGCAACCTACTCTCTCACAACAGCTCAAGCAGTTTTCTTGGAAATTTTATGAAATACAGGTAGTCTTCAATTTACAACCACAATTGAGCCCAAAATGTATATTGTTAAGTGAGAAATTTGTTAAGTGAGTTTAGCCCAGGGGTGAAATTTAGCAAGTTCCGACAGGTTCTAGAGAACCAGCAGCAGAAATTTTGAGTAGTTCAGAGAACCGGCAAATATCACTTCTGGCTGGTCCCAGTGGGAATGGGAATTTTGCAGTATCCTTCCCCTGCCACGACCACCAAGCCACGACCACAGAGCCTGTAGTAAAAAAAATTGAATTTCACCACTGGTTTAGTCCCCTTTTACGACTTTTCTTGCCACATTTATTAAGTGAATCACTGCAGCTGTTAAATGAATAAAACGGTTTTTAAGTCAATCTGGTTTTCTTGTTGACTTTGCTTGTCAGAAGGTTACAAAAGGCAATAATATGACTCTGGGACACTGCAACCATCATAAATATGAGTCAGTTGTAAGGCATCCAAAGGTAAATCATGTGATCATGGGGTTGTCACTGTAAAAAATGATCAGAATTCATTTTTTTCAGTGATACTGTAACTCTGAATGGTCATTAAATGAATTGTAAGTCGAGGACTACCTGTATTTTTTAAACTGTTTAAGTTAACTAAGGGCTACTCTGCACATAATAGTAAATCAGGAATCTAAAGTGTTCTGATTTATTGTGATCAACCAAGTAGTATTCATTCCTGTGCTTTCCCCATTAGACTGTTGCTGCGGGAACAAACCAAGAATCTCATCCAATTAAGGTATTCTGTGACTTGTTGCTGTCTTAAAACAAAACTAGAGGCTGTTCTTGCTCTAGAACTCTAGCTTATGAAAACAAGAGAATCCTGGCTTTGATTTAGCCTCCTCCTTTAAGTGTACCTTTGTGCCTAATCCCAGAAATTCTGCTTGTGGACATTCTTATATTTTAGTATCATCTGCATTATAGGAAACAATGAAATTACATGTAAATGAGATATAAAGCAAAGGCAGATTTTGAAAATTACTCTGAACAAATAACAAATATAAATGTATTAATAATCACTTCTAATACTGAAAGGCAAAATACATTTGTTTCTGGAGGGATACGTACCTCATTTACAGCCTGACATGTTGCTTTTTCCACCTGCGATCCTACCTCTTTTCTCTGCATTTTTTGCTGTAACTCTTCAACCATTTCTTGCTGTTTCTCTTCTTTACCCAGCGACTTAAGAATTTGTTGTTTCATTTCTTCAATTTGCCACTGCAACTCTTCCACTGGGGACTCCAGCTCATGTATTGTTTGTTGTGCCAAGATATTAACATCTTGTTCGTCCTGTATAGTTTTTCTCTGCTGCTCTTTTTCCAACAGTTGCTCCAATTTCACACATTTCAATCTGTTCTCTTCCAATTCATTAACCATTAGAACTATACGGTCATGCTTTTCATTCAATTGCTTTTGCAGATCTTTGAGCAATTCATCTGAATGTGCAGAACTTCCATCCTGCTTTATCTGTTCAATCATCTGGAGCTGGATGTGCAAGTCTTTTTCTTTGTCTAGGGCACTGCACAGCTCCACAACTTTGAGCTTCTCAGATTCCAACAGTACTTGAAGGTCAAACTTGTGCTCCTCATTTAATGCCTCCTGGGATTCAATCTTCTTTTGCAAATCATTTGACAGCTGTCTTTCAAGTTCCAAAAGCTTACTCAGTTCTATATTCTTCTGTCTTTCATTTTCAAAAGTAAATTTCAAATCCTTACAAGAGGAAAACAACAAAAACAAGCAAAATGTGGGTATCTAACTCTTTGTAAAGACCACTGGAATGTACCATAAAAACAGTAATTTTGAAGAAATTAGAAATTGATAGTTAAAAGCTTGTCACATGCTGATCTTACTAGATTTTTAATTCAAAAGTTAATTCAAATTTAATTTAGAAGTCTGTTCATTTTTTTTTCTGGACTAGTATAAAGGATACATGTTACATTTTCTGGACTGATATATTAAGGATGCATGTTACATTGAGAGAACTTGCAATTTTAGGAATAAAGCTATAAATCAAAACTATTTTATTGTTAGCAAAGCTATCTTAGAATAAGACATTCACTCTACAAATAATGTTCAGTAATGAAAGGCTGATCTAATCTGAGTCATGGTTAGGCATATTGGAACAAAGGAGATTTAAGTCAACTCTTTTGGTTGAGTAACCAATAAACAGCATCCGCACAGAGAAGAAGAGGTTGCCATGGCCTAGCACAACATGTTTGGGTGTACGTGGTATGTGTTTGTACTGCCGATGTTGCTGTTCAACCTCTTCGCTGCCTAAGCTGGTGGACACAATCTTTGAAGTAATCTTGGAGAATCTGAAAACAGGCTTTTAAAGTGAATGAAAAAAACTCTCAGATTTTAATAGGCCTAATACATAGGACTACCTACCTATTCATCATATTCATAATTTGTTTCAGTAAGCCTATAGAAAAAAACTTTTTGCTAATGAGTTAGTATAAAAGACTACATCTGGTACAAGGAAATTGCTGACAAGAACAATTACAAGTATCAAGTTTTGTTCACTGAGATATTTCGAATGAACTCTGCTTTTTGCAACTTGTTGTTTTTATCTTATCATTAAAGATGCTGGCTTAATTCTCAATCTTTACAATGCATGGTATCTTATTAAATATATACTAAAGCATGAAAACCTCCTCCTTCTCCTCATAATCTGTATAGCAATCACTCCCACTGCACATTTTAAATAACCAAGATTGGTTACCTCAATTTCTTGTTTTTCTCTTTTTTTACTGTGTCCCACTTTTGTTTTCTCCTTTTCCAGAGCCCATTGAAACTCCATTGATTTCTTCCTTTCATTTGTAATCGTGTTTTGTAAGATGTCAAGTTCAATTGTCTTTCCCTTAAGTTCATTTCTGATACAAACCAAGATAAATTACTTTTAGTTATTTGAAAGTATCTAAACTAACTGAGCACAAAACTGCATATTCAAGGCAAACCTGCAAGTTTTCCAAAATTTTATTTCTAGACTCAGTCCTATTGGTCACTGGACAGAGACAACTCATCCTGGCTGTTGTCTCCACCACTGGGGAGAATAATCAATTCTATACAATGTTTGCTGCAAGAGCCTCTTCATTCCAATCATTTTAAAATGATGAAAAGTAAAAGAAGTCAATGTGAATGTTTCATTAAAATGAGTAAGATTTAAACAGCCTCACTTTAAAACTGGTTTTTAACAGAACTGTAAAAAAAAAGAAGTAGGATCTTCTACAGAGCTAAAGAAAAAAAAACCTTGAAAATTATACCTGATAGCTTCCAGATCCCTCAAGTGCTTATGTTGTGCTTTTAGAGTTGTTTCCAATTCCAGTTTGGTTTGCCCAAGTTCATTTTTCAGTTCTTCAGCCACCATCCTTTCAGAAGTGAGCTGCTCTTGAAGTTCAGCTGTTCTGTCCTTAGTATTTTTGAGCTCTATTTGCATTTCCATATTGTATCCCAAAGGTTCTAGGGAGCACATTGTCACACAGTAAGAAACAGACTAAACATGCTAATCTGTCATTGAAACAAAATCCTGACCAAAGAGGAAAATCAGTTTCTTATTTATAGAAAACATTTAACTTCAATAATACTAAAGGTGTGTTTGATCTTTAATTCTTTGATGAAACATGGATTACTTCCATTTTATAAATTATTATTATATAATAATTTTAAACTCACTGCAAGAATTTCAGCTTAGCTAGGCCACTATATTTTACTTGTTAGACTCTTAGCACTGACATTATTAATGCTACTTTCTGTCTTTTTGAAGTTGGTTAAATGAGAACGTATGATATGTTGTCCAAGTTGAATTTTGGTATACTTATGTTATTAGTTCATATATACTAACAATAACACACAACCCCCCCCCCTTTGTTTTTCAAACTGAAGCCTAGAAAGGAAGTCTGATGGAAAATGAAGATAACCACATTGATCAAATGGTTTTACACATTACCTTGACATTTTGGATGGATTTCTTTTTCTTCACCTTGCCTGTTTAGCTGTTCATGCAAAGTATTGATTTCCATTAACAAACTTTGTCTATCTGCATGCTGAATGAAATCCAAAGCATTCCTCTGATATGTCACCTTTTATCATAAGCAGATATAAATAAAAAGCAGAAAGAAATACCAGATTAATAAATTGTTTAGAACTTGCCTTTACTATTCAAAAAGTTAACAAGTCCTCATCTCAGATAAATTATAGGAATGTAGTAGAATTCATCAACAGAAGAATAAAAACATTTTTCATGAGATCATTTTTGTGCCTTATGTGTGTGTTCTTAAACGGCAGTACATCCACTTATATTTATAATACTATTGCAATAAAAGGATTTAACACCTTTAACTGTATTTCTTACAATTACTTTCCAATTCCCCATGTCTCTTTAAGATGTAGTGGAATTTTAATTTATGTTGTCCCAATTATAATGCTTATTTCCCACGGCCCTAACTAACTATTTTAAAGTAAAAAGGTAAAAATAAATTGCCATTGAACACGATGGAAAGTTTTGCATCTATTAAAAAAATCTAGATGGCCAAAATAGTTGTTTCATTTATTTGCAAATTTATATGTAAAATATTCCCAATAAATATAGGTATGAAAAATAAATCATAAAATTGAAGTGTATACAATAATAATAAGTAGCATCATAAAAATGCAAGACTAGACAAAATTATCCAAGTTTTCTCTACTTGCAACAAAATTTGTATACGGTGACAGGTTTTTTTTAGTTTGAAATAAACATGTTCTGTTTTTTTTATATTCTTCTTTGTTTTTTTAAAGTAATCTTTATTGGTTATACATTTTTTTAAAGAGTAAAATATACAAATACAAATACAATTTTAAACATACAACCCCCTCCCCTGCGGTGACAGTCATTCACAGCCCAACTTTTTTTTCCTTCCTCATTGTTTAGTCTCTAAGCCGCATCTTCTCGTTACAAAATTCAGGGATCTATTACAATACCCATGTTCACTTTTAGTTCCCATTGTTAACAACTGCTATTTGACTTTCCCCATTTTAAGTCCCTGCGGTTCTCCTTGTCGCCCACATATACCATAGATTCCAGCTAACGTAATGTTCCGTTTCTCCTTTGTCCCTCAGCCAACCCGTCATTCTGTCCATTTCTGCACATTCATAGATCTTTTTAATTATGGCATCTTCCGACGGTATGGTAGTAGATTTCCAAAATTGTGCATAAGTTATTCTTGCAGCCACAATTATATGTAGGCTCAAACGCCATATTGATTTACTCATGTTTTCTGGTTTTATGCTTAATAAAAAATTCTCGGGTTTCCATTCCATGCTTGCCCCAGTAACCTCTTTAAGCCATTTTTCAATCCTTCTCCAGTATTTCGTGGCCTCAGCACAAGAGCACCAAATATGGTAGAATGTGCCATCCCTTCTTCCGCATTTCCAACACAGTGGAGATAACCCAGGAAACATTTTGGCTAACCTCATTGGGGGGAAGTGCCATCTATAAACCATCTTGTATATGTTTTCTTTAAATGCTGTAGATATTGTAAGTTTAATAGTCTTACTCCATAGATCCCACCATTTGCCCATTTCAATCTCATAGCCAAAGTTTCTCTCCAATGCTATTAGAAGGCTTTTATCCATCTCTTCTTTAACATCTTGACAGGTCAAAATTTGATAAATCTCGATAACATTTTCTTATCTCCGCCAAACAAAATCTTATCTAGCCCCTGAGGGTTTGGGTAGATCCCAAACCGTACCCTATCGCTTTTAAACCTGTTTCTAACCTGTAAATATTCCCACCATTCCAGATTCCTGCCCTGCTGCTCTAATTCCATCTTAGTCTTCATGTTGCCATCTTCTGTCATGATGTCTTTATATGTTATGTTTCTTGTCCAATTAAATACACTGGGATGCGTTAAGGCCTCTAACGGTGCCAACCAGCACGGAACCCTAAGATAGTATTTTTGCCTCATCTTTTCCCAGACCCCCATCAAAATCTTCCGGATATAATGTCCCATGAAGTACCTATGGGGGGTATCTCTTTCTTGCCAGAGAGAGGTATGCCATCCCTGGGGGAGGTCATGTCCCTCTATAGCCAATAGGCGCCTTCTACTCAACATCACCTGATCCTTCACTCATGTCATAATTGCTGCATTATAATATGCTTCCCAGTTGGGTACTCCGAAGTCTCCCAGTTCTTTATGTTTTTGCAACATTTGGGTTTTAATTTGTGCTTTCTTGCCTTGCCATATAAATTGAGCCACTATTGTCTCCAAAGATTTAAAATAAAATTTGTCCAATTTAGTTGGTGCTATTTGAAACAGAAACAAACATTTCGGTAATACATGTGTCTTAACTGTCGCAATCCTACCCATCAAAGACAGTTGTTTACCACTCCAATTAGTCATATCCTTAGATACCTGTTGTAGCAATTTCATATAAATATCTACCTTGATAGAAGAACATCTCTCCGTGAGCCAAATTCCCAAGTATTGTATTTTATGGGCCATGTTAATCCCTAACAGGCTTTGTACTTCCCTTTTCTGGTTCAAAGCCATATTCTTAATTAACAGTTTTGTCTTCTCTTTATTTATACGTAGCCCCACTATCCTACCGTACTCCTCTATTTTATGTTAAAGTTGTATCCCAGAAGCCATAGGATCCTCCAGAATAAAAAGCCTGGACCTTAAATTCCTGAGTTTTAGCTCGTAACCCTTTAATTTGTGTATCACTCCTCACTATTCTAAGAAGGGGTTCTAATGTGAGGATAAACAGTAGGGGGGATAACGGGCATCCTTGTCTTGTGCCTTTACCAATCTCAATATCACCCGCCTCTTCTCCATTTACCAATAATGTCACAGTTTGTCGTACATAAATTGCCTGAACTGCATTTAAGAAGTTTTCTCCAAACTTCATATTTTCTAATTGTGACAACATACCATAAACTTCCAATTTACCCGATCAAAAGCCTTTTCTGCGTCAAGAAACATAAAGGCCACTTGTTTATCCGGCCGGGCTTCATAATATTCTAAGGCATCCAAAATAATTCTAACATTATCTTTCAAATGCCTTGACAGCAAGAAGCCATTCTGATCAGGGTGTATAAATTTATGAAGGAAGAATTTAAGTCTATCTGCCAGTATAGCTGCAAAGATTTTATAATCCACATTCAAAAGTGAAATGGGCCTATAATTTTTGATTTGGGTACGGTCAGCTCCAGCTTTAGGCAAAAGGGTTATATAGGCCTCAGCCCACGATTTTGGTGCGATAGAATCTGTCAAGACTTATAATAATAAGTAGCATAATAAAAATGCAACTAGGCAAAATTATCCAAGTTTTCTCTACTTGCAACAAAATTTGTATACGGTGACAGGTTTTTTTTAGTTTGAAATAAACATGTTCTGTTTTATATACATACATACATACATACATACATACATACATACATACATACATACAATGTTTTAAAAAGATCAGCAATGTTCAAGTTTAAACTCAGAGGTTCTAAGCACCCATGATTGCATTTTTGGTTTGGTAGATTGGTAGAGTTTCTATACTTTCTAGTGATTAGTACAGTAATGGCAAATAATTATGCTCCTGCTACTACTGGGTAGACTGAATGAGGTGATATCTGGCCATTTTGAGCAGTGCCTTTTGAGTGATTTGACTTTCAGAGCACTGTGACAGAGCAATTGTTTGTAACTCATGACTAGATTGTGTTATTTCCAATGTTTTTTCAGCTGAGCCAGTATACTGCAATAGAGTCAGGTACCTGCTTCTACTGATTTAGACTTAGTAGATTATAAAGGAGGGTAGAATTACAAGAAAACCAGTAGGAGTTAGAAAACTTCAGCCTGCAGGGCTGGTAAGTACATTGCTTTATTAAAGAAAAATATTTATCATGAGGGACTCAAAAGTTTATAAAATTGGGTTTGGGCTGTTTTATTTTACAGGTGGTTAATGCAAACACATGTTGGTGTATGCTGTATGTTTCATTACTTACTTCAAGTTTTATCCTAATAATATAGACAAAAGGAACAGTTTTCAATGGAATTGTTTCTAATGAAAAAGAAACAAATTCAGTTCCATTCCTAATAAATTCTATCATCATAAAGGTAAATAATATGTAAGACTTCAAAAGAAAAAAAATCTGGGTGAAGTGCTTGAATATTGGAATAAACTTCAAACCCAGTGTTTTTCCCCCGAGTACAGGTAGTATTCATTTACTGATTACTTGCTCAGCAACTGTAATATGTAACAATGGTGGAGAGTGAAAAACATTTATGGCCAATTGGAAATCATATATACCTTTGCAGTATTCCTCAACCACATGAACACTGTTATAATCAGTACAATTGTCCTGTGCCTCACTTTTTGTTTTTAATTCTCCATCCTGCTTGCAGTGAGATTGGAGAGGGAATGGAAGGATTACAAGACTGTAAACTTTGCTTTTCTACACAATGAAACCAATGCAATCATATTGGCAGCTCAAAACAGTGATGTTGCAAGCATGCTACATGATCAGTTTAAAATATTCCAGCAGTTTCTGGAATTGGGTATATCTAGTTTAATGAAAAGAAGCACTCGGGTGACGTGATAGCAGTGTTCCAGTATCTCAGGGGTTGCCACAAATAAGAGGGGGTCAATCTATTCTCCAAGTACCTGAAGACAGGAGAAGAAGCAATAGATGGAAACTAATCAAGGAGAAAAGCAACCTAGAACTAAGGAGAAATTTTCTGACAGTTAGAATAATTAATAAGGGGAACAATTTGCCTCCAAAAGTTGTGACTGCTCTAACACTAGAAATTTTAAAGAAGAGATTGGATAACCATTTGTCTGAAGTGGGGTAGGGTTTCCTGCCTAAGTATGGGGTTGAATTAGAAGGGACTCCAAGGTCCCTTCCAACCTATTCTATTCTATTCTATTCTATTCTATTCTATTCTATTCTATTCTATTCTATTCTATTCCATTCCATTCCATTCCATTCTAGTCATTTATTTTACTCTACTCTACTCTCTTGAAAGCTCCTTTCCTCTCTCTTCTCTGATAAAAAGTATCATAAGCACAGAATCTTTTAAACTGCTTAAATAAAAACATTTGCAGTGATTAACAACAGAAAATTATTACTTTTATCAAGTATAATTCACCTGCTCATGAAATCGGCTTTCCAGTTGATTTATTAGTCCCAAAGCATCTTGTACACCAGCTTCTGCCAATTCAGTTCGAACTGCTGCTAGAAGAATATCTTTTTCTTTTTGGAAAATTTGTTGAACAGCACAGAGTAGTTCAGCCCTCCAATCTGAGACACTGTCAGAAGCTTCAGATGCTACACAAAACTAAGGGAGAACAAAAGCAATAGTGTATAAATATATTAAAGCTTTAAAAAGAATGAATTGTTATTTTTGTTTATGCTTTATAAATATTTATGTTATTGAAAATTCTTAGCTCTCTCCCTTTTTCATTTAACAATGTAATGACTTCCAGTAGTCTTAAGAACAGATTTATGACTATAGGTTATCATGCATTTAGCAATTTTAGCAATTCTTGTTTTTTATGAACTTTTTTCCCCTTTAAAACTGCTTTCCCCATTGTTTCAGATGTATTCATCTCTGGAATTCTAAATCAGTGAGCCAATACATTTGCAGACTGGGGAAGGCTGCTTAGCCCCTTTAAAGTCACTACTGAAAAAAAATTGTGAATCTGAAGATTAGTGTTAAAACAGAAGCATAAAAGTAAAAAATAATATAACCGCTTTATTTTTTCTCTAGAATATCTGTACTGAAATTTACTATTACATGACTTACACTATATTGTAGTACACATTTGTCCAGACATACTGTATGAAAGATTAGACTGATAATATTTTTTTGAAAAATGAGACTAGAATTTGTCTTAGCTAGTTAAATAAAAGAGGCACTTTCAAGAGATTCAAAAACAATTTTATAATATATTTATAGAAATATAAATATTTCTATAACTAGAGGCAAAAATAACCAGAACCACTCATCAATAACTTCAACACAAGTTTTATTGCTGGTCACTTATGTTACAAAACTATTTGCCAGACTGAATGCATTCCCTTAAGGATGACAAGATTCAAGGATTCTGAAGAATGTCTGGGTTGTGCCACTTATTGCACTGTAACGACTATAACTCTGATCCCTCTTGACCCCCTCTCCACTTTAGCTGGAGATTCCACCACAAGAACATTAATAGAATATTTCATAATTTATATATGTAGGTTAGTAAAAGGGACGCAATAGTGGCTAAGATGCTGAGCTTGTCAATCAGTAAGGTCAACAGTTCAGTGGTTCAAATCCCTAGCGCCGGGTAACAGAGTGAGCTCCAGTTACTTATCCCCGCTTCTGCCAATCTAGTAGTTCGAAAGCACATAAAAAAATACAAGTAGAAAAATAGGGACCACCTTTCGTGGGAAGGTAACAGTGTTACCTTCAGCATTTAGTCATGCCGGCCACATGACCACGGAGAGCGCTGCTTTTCGACTTTGAAACGGAGATGAGCACTGCCCCTAGAGTCAGTAATGACTAGCACACATGCGCGAGAGGAGCCTTTACCTTTACTTTAGGTTGGGAAATGAGGACCCAGATTGTTGGTGGTAATATGCTGACTCGGAAAACCACTTAGAGAACGCTGTAAAACACTGTGAAGTGGTAAGTAAGTCTAAGTGCTATTGCTAAAATGTAACCATTCTGTGATCATAATTACCTTAGTTTGTCTGTGAATCTGCATTTTAGCAATTAACTCCTTCAGAGATAAAATACTGCTTAAGAAAGCCTTGCGTTCTTCTAGCCAAGGTACTAGTTCTTGATTAATAGGAAAAACTTCACCTTCATTGTAAAGAAATTCTGTGAGCGAAAGTACTTGTGTGCCCTCGTGATAAATAGCTCTTAGCAAGCCCTAGGGGAGGAAACATCAGATATGATAGAATGAAGAATGAATCATTACTATTCCTTTTCCAATGTTTAGAAACTACTTTTAAGAATCTGTACATGAATCAAACTTTTTCATTGGTGGGGTGCCTTAATAACATTAGTAGAGCAATGAAAATTTTATCTATGAAAAACCAATTATTGTTAGTGTTTTAGATAGCACATACCCCTTTGTTTCTTAGAACCGCTATGACATTTTTCAAAGCATTACATTCTTGTGTTAACTCCTGTACTACAATACATTGTTCTCTTTTCAACCCTTCTGATTCTGAGGTATGTCTCATTTCCATGTCTATTATTTCAGCAGCATGTAATTTCTGCATTTGTTTCATTTTTTCCTTAAATTCTTTTATGAGTTCTCTAGCTTCTGTTGAACAATATTCATTTTCTAAATCAATCTGAATTCCTTCACTTTTCTCAAGTTGTTGTGAAGTCTGGTTGCAGCTACTGATCTGATGTGCTTTTTCTGTCTGACTTGATGCATTTATCCATTTCACATCTATTTGCTCTGGCTTGATAATATTCTTTTCCTTCTTTATATATCCAGCAATTATTTCTTCTGTCTTGTCTAATTTATTCCTGATTTGCTCTAATTCATTTTTAAGACAAATCAGGTTTATTTCTTTTACCTGAAAATAAACAAAAGTTCAGATGCTTCACTCTTACAGAAAAAAGATACAACTAGTATGATCTTTTTAAACCACCTAGTTCTTTGCAAATATTTTGAAGTGACAGCTACTCATAAGTATACGTTTTTGACATGCTTGTAATTTTGCTGCTCTGTTATCCTTCCATTACAAGAAAACCAATGAATATCATTACTTCACTAATTATTAATAGGTAGCAAGTTAAATTTTCATTATTAAAACACAGGTGATGTACTGTACAAATTTAAGAATGATGTACTGAGCAGTGGGGAGCACGGCACAGCATATAAAAGTAACTGTGTGATACTATTCAGGAACACATTGAGACTCAGAAATTAAAAAACATGGAAACAGGATAACTGTATATGAACAACAAGCAGTCAATGCACACAGCAAGCACATTTTCAGTGTGGTAAATAAGATGTTGGATTGGTAAAGATTCAAATATACTTTTAGTGACAGAATCTCATTTTGCAACTTCCAAGAAGCTCCCCCTCTCCCAACCTAGCCTACCTCACAGGTTTTTCTTGTTGGGAAAATGGAAGGAGGGACCACTATACACCTTGGGCGTGTGAATAGAAAGCAAAATAAAAATCAAAGAAATAAAAAATAAGACCAGCTTTTGCTAATAAAGCTTGCCACCTGCTCTGTAGACTTTATTTAGTAAATTTTATTTAGTCTGGAGAATTGTCCTATACTAAAAATTTGCTTGAAATTATATTAATTTCTTGTCATATTTTTCTATCTATAGATCATATTTTAAGATTATTGATAGTCTTACTTAAAGCATAGACATAAATCATTCTCAATGTTTACTTCTACATAAAAGCCTCACTATTAGAGCTCTTAATTACTTACTGAATTACTGACAAATCATGCAAAGAAACAACCAACCCTCACAGCAAATCTTCTGAATATTTGAAAGTTTAGTTCTAGATTGATTACATGAAGATATCATGACAGTATAAAAATCAGGTATGTAATAATCATATAATTGAAATTCTCTACGAAGTCCACCCAATATGCTTTTTAGTTACTTAATACTTTTATTTTGCACCCTTCAAATACATTGTTCCCAGCAACGTTTAGTGCAAAGTGCAACAGATGTTTATTTTATTCTTCCCAGTAACTGATCTTCCTTTTCGTCTTCTTTTTAAAAAAATAGTTATTAAGCTATTCCTTGGCTGTAGCTGACTCCACTATGAATTTTTCTAATTCAAAATAATTTCCTTGCGTGTTTTCACTGCGACCACCTAAATTATTAGTACCAAAATAGTAAATCATGTGAGTATAAACCAACGTACGGACATGTATTTCTTAGTTACTATGCTAAGGTAATTTCTCACATTGGGAGGAGTTAGGGTTATAGGTATAATGGAAGATGAATCCTGACTTAAATTAATCCTTGGAATAAAGATTTAACCATTTCCCCAGTTAACTACCCACTGAAAGTGGCTACTCGTATGCAGTTAAGATGCTAGAAACACATATGTTGGTAAAGTATCACCATTTTTGCAATAAAAAGTAGTAACCAAAAATAATGGCTTTATTACCCATGTATCACTTTTGTTAAATGTCTGGTTACATTATGGTTCTTTAATTGCTTGAACTTGTACATGGATTTGTTATTCCTCATAAAGGTAATATAGAAATACTTTATTCCATTCATTTTCAGTTTCTGCATTTTCAACAATTACAGCCCCCCTTTTCCCAAAATAATATTTGACTGATTCATACTTGAAGAAAACAATTTCAAGCCAGTTATACCTGAGTTTGCATATTTTCCTCGGAACTTGACAATTTCTCCTTTTTCTGTATTTGTTCTATTTCGTTTAGCAATTGTTCAACGCTCTCTTCCTTTTCTTTTGTCCCCTTTGGTACAATTTCCACTTTTGTTCTTTCTAGTTGAAGGTTATTTTGTGCATCTGCCAGTTGCCTCTGCATCTCTGAACGTTTTTCTGATAGCTCTAATAACCTAGTTGTTGCATCTTCCCTACCTATATATTTTGCATTTTCTAATTGAATACAGAGGGCTTCTTTGTTATTTTCTGACGCTACAGCTGCCAGGGGGGGACACTGAATTTGCTCCAGAACTACATTGAATTCAGCTTGATGTTGAAGGAGTGCAGCAAACTTTTGTTCCTTTTCTTCAAGGCCTTTTTCTAGCTCCATTATTCTTTGTTCGACCTTGTTTGATGCCATATGGGCTTGGTCTTTGAAATCCTTGAAATCCTTGTTGCTTTGGATTAGTTCTAAATCCTTCTCCTCTAGAGCTTTCTCAACCATCTGAAAATTTATACTTGTTCCAGAAGCATCTTCTTCTATCTTTGTAATTATTTGTTTATCTTGTGGTTGGCGTCTCTTTATATTTAATTCAGGGTTTTCTCTAATTTTTTCAATTTCTTCTTTCAGTATATCTAGTTCTATCTTTAATTCTACCATGTTAATTTGTTCAAATTCAAGTTCATTCTTTGCTGTGCATAACTGCTTAACATTATTTTCCAGTTTCATCACTAAATCTTCCCTTTCTGCCAATACAACATCAAGCTGGTGTTTTAAATTATCAACATCTTCTTGGGTCAGTGAACTGTCCAAAAGTATCTTGTGTTCAATTTCCCCCATTTCATGTTGGAGTTTTTCAATGACTTCATTTAGCTGTTCTATTTCTTGTTCATGGTTCTGCTTGACACGTTCTTGATCACTCTTTAAAATTTCTATTTGGGCTTCCAGTTCTTTTATGTGCTCAACCAACTAAGCAAGATTGAGATAAAAATAAAGAAAAATATTATGAAATTTTATGTCATTAATTATATTTCTTTGTATTAAATATATATTTTAAACATTCTGTATACCAATGCTTTTTATATGAAATGTGTAAAAACTAAATGAGAGTAATTCCTATTTATTTAAATAAAATAAGATAAAGATTTCATTCAGATATAGCCTTTTAATGTGTTATGGGGGATACTGATCGCTATATGCATTTAAAAAAACCTGTTTAATTGTGACCAAATAAAAGCTCTGCATCATGAGAAAATAATTGGCAGGAAAAATAACACAAACTAACTAGTAATAATTATAACTACCAGAAACTGTACCAGTTGTAAAAGTTCAACTATGTCACAAGCTGTAAATAAAGAGAGGGATGATATGAAATATTAAATATGTGTTAAAAAGTATCTTTAATAAACATCTATGCAAATTCTATTTTGAAGTAGAATTATGTGTATTTCTGTTCTAACATGTTTTTTATTTGCTTAAAGGGATGGCGTCACTAAGGATTCCATAAATTATTACTTTATTATCTGTTGTAATTTCCATCTGCTGTTGAAATTTTGAAATTTGTTCATGGAGCTCATGGATTTTCTGTTCCTTTTCCTGTATAATCTCTATATATTTTTCAGGAACTTGATGATGACCCTGTATAGAAGTATCTTCAGGATTCTGGATAGCTTGACCCAATTGTTTCATGTCCTCCTACAGACAAAAAACAATGGCATGGAAATAACTTGTATATTCCCTTCACTAATTATTTTCATTTTATCAGAGGAATAAACTGAAACAAGAAAATATTTTATAAATAGTTATATTTATAAATTTTATTCAAGATTTTATACTTTTGATAATTTTCAGATTTCCTAAACTCAGATTATGTTTAAAACAGGAAAGAAAAGCATGATTTGTTCTCAAGTAATACCTTAAATAATTTATTTTCTTGTTCAAGTTCTTGTTGTCGAGTTGTAGACTCTTTTAGCTGAATTTGTAGCTGCATCTGTAACTGCTGCACTTCTTCGTTTTTGTTTTCCAGTTCTTCACGGAACTGTTCTAACTGTTCTTCAAGATTTATGATCTGTATATCCAAAATAAATGGCAAAGGAATAATTTATTTTATGTAAACAAGAGCAATTTTTTTTAGCAGCACTTGTTTTAAGAAACAAGCTGATATACTAAACATTTGCTTGTATTTAAAAAGATACTTTCAAACTTTCAAGTATAAAATATGATTTATTCATATATCCTCAGTATTAAAAGATGAGAGGGTGCATTTGTTAATTTTACAGTAGGCAGATGATCCTAGGATGGAATTATACAAGAATTTTAAATATAATTTGGGTATATTTTAAATGTATCTTAGTGAATAACCTACTTAGTATTACATGCTAATATTTTTGGGTTTATATATGATTTAATGCATCCATCCATCAATGAAGATCTAAATCATTGCCATTTCTCTTATCCAAAAAAATGAAATAGCAAAATCATGTTGATTATCCTCTGTGTGGATTCTTGGCAAACAACTTCCAATACAGTTTATGTTATTTTATTATAAACAGGAGACTTAGAGAAATTTCAAATATTTATTTAAAGGTCAGTATGATCTTCAGAATAATTAAATATATCTTATAATGTGTTGAATATATTCTAATATTTATGGTGGGAATTAGGGCTACATTTGTTTTAGGGTTATTTCAGATGACTAAACATTTAAAATAAAATACATGAACCTTTTACTATTCAAACTATCCTGTCTGTTTGTAATCTTCAATTGGGTATCTATCTCATAGGCCAACATTTTTTGAATCAAAGTATCTCAAATGGGCTAAGTTAAAAGAATGTGTCCAAAACCTGGGGTCCACTTTTACTGTGGGATTGAAATTTCAAGGATCCTAAAGCCAATTGTAGTGACAAAGTAGTGCCCTGCAGCACTTTCTCACCACCCTGCAATACTGCCGCAATCAGGTTTGGTTTCTGATGCCGCATGCCAGCTTTGCACGAACAAAGCCAATGGCAAAGCTGCCAGCAAGCTGGAAGCTATTCCCCTCCCACATAAAGGCACTGCTTTTATGTCTATCCATGGTAATTTTATTTATCTATTTAGGTAAGGAAATATTTTTGAAACAATGAATGAATGGGTCATGGGTTATCTAGTAGTAAAACAAATACAAGATTTTTTTTTACTTATACATTTTGATTTACTCCCTCTGAATAATTTTGTATAGGTTTAACAAATATTTTTGAGCACTATAAGCGATCAACACAAAACCAAGTTTATACAGAACCATGAATCCTTTGCTCCAAAGGTCCTTTTATACAGAAGGCAACTGGACCTTCTTTATTTATTTTTTCTTGAATATGTTTTGCTTATCATCAAAGAAGCATCTTCAATTCAGTCAGAACTGAAAAAGCTTCTTGGAGAAGCGACACGTTTTATAGCAATAGCAATAAGATTTATATACCGCTTTATAGTACTTTACAGTCCTCTCTAAGTGGTTTTACAGAGCATATTGACTCCAATAATCTGGGTCCTCATTTTACCCATCTCAGAAGGATGGGTCAATTTGAGCCTAGTGGCAGTCAGCAGAAGTAGCCTGCAGTATTGTGCTCCAACCACTGTGCCATCGCAGTTTTCAAGGAAAAAACCAAGAAAGTCAAATTGCCTTTTTGAAAAGCACTTTTGGGACAACCATGACTTGGATAATTAAGAATCTGCATAGATATGAATTCCTTTACCTCATATGTGGAATTCAATTTAAAGTAATGAAAGTTCTGAATAATTAAAAAAAAAATACTCTACCTCTTTTTCCTTCCTGTCAAGGGCATCTTGCTCTGCCTGTAGCTGTGCTTCTAGAGGCAAGTCCCCCCTTTTAGTTGCAGACCCAAATTTCTTTTTTTCTTCCACCTTTAAAGTAAGTATATTTAACTATCACTTCTTTAAGTCACATTTCTTTCATTATTAAGTAAAGCAAGTTACATTGATAACAATACTGCATACATAATTATAAATCAAACAGACTCTTGAAAAATACCTTTTGTATATTGTCTGCACTGATTATTAAAGCTTGTTCCAGTTCTTGGATTCTACATTCTAATTTCTCAATTTCTTCGTTCCGTTCTTGCACATCTCTCTGAAGTTGCTCCTTAGAGAGCAAAAGCTCACTGCATTTATCTGTTTTCTCTTGAAGATTATTTGTTAACTCTTCAACCTGGTGGCAGAGTAGGAAAGGCATTATAATATAGGCTATAATTCAAACACAAATTTGCTACAAATTATGGCAAGTTAAAATTGTGTGAAATAGGAAAAAAAGAAGGATGTACATGTATTAAAAAAACTTAATGTCTGGAGAAAATCACAAGCAACCAAAATCAAATAAATAAAGGGAAATCAGAAAAATAAAGCTGTTCTTGAAGGCTAGAAGAGGAGCAGATATCACCACTGGCAGCAACATATTCCAAAGAGTGGGGACCACTGCAGAAAAATCTCTTTTACTGGACCATACCTAGCCAAAATTCCTTGGCTGATGGGATCCATAGTAAACTCTTCCTGTTGGTGTGAATGAGGTAGGCTGATCCTACCAGGGAAAGATGGTTCCTCAGAGATCCTGGACCAGTGCCATAAAGGGCTTTAAGAGTAATGCCCAATACATAATCTAAGGGTAAGATGACCGATACCCATCTAAAAGTAAACTCTGGAATTCTTAATATTGTGGCATAGGTTTGTAGATATTATTTCAGGAAATATTATACTGAGATTACAAACATATCGACAGGCATACACAAACATGAAAACATAGAGGTCTGCTAATTGTGAATATTTGATAATATAAGTCCTTCTAGGTTCAAGTTATAATTTTTGATGCTATAAGTTTTTCTATGCTCATTATAATATAACTATTCTATACTATACCTATTGGAATTTATCGCCTCTAGGCTGTATAATGTATATGTGTAAGATGTATGTATACGTGTGTGTGTGTGTGTGTGTGTGTGTGTTTGTTTGTTTGTATGTGTGCGCATCCTCAACATGATAAATCATTCAGCAATTCTGCAAAGTTACAACAGAACTCAAAAAATAGACAGACAACCCATGCCTGAAGTTATGGCAAAATGATCAAAATTCAAGTGCTTGGTAGCCTGACTGCAGTAACAAATGCAGGGGCATTTCATCTCACATTACTTGCCTATCCCCCCTCCCCCTATCTCTGCCCTTTTGGTCATCCTACACCATGATTAGAAGCATGGCAAACAGTCCCAAACCATGTGCCTCTGGGGCCCATTTCCACACCCCAGGAAACTTCAGCTACCACTGCACAACTCAGCAAGCCTTGTTGTCTTCTCTCCCAGTTCCTTGCAATAGTTTCTCACTCAGTTTTTGCACCCAGCCAGCCCTGCTGAAAACGCCTCACTGCCTTGTCTTTGGATCTGTAGCTACCATGCTATCTCAGGCACACCAGTTTCTCCAGGGAGCGCTCATGTGGCTCTGCAGCCCACCTGACCAGTGTGGCACCAAACTGCAGCACCCACGAACCCCAGTAAAAACCAGCGGCTTTAATTCAACCTAGCTACCTTCTCTCCCAGATGCCTACACCAACCTTCGCACACCCTGCTGTTACAGCCAGAACAGAAGCAATTCCTTCTTCTACTTTTTGAACTCAATTTCTCTGGTGAATCTTTTCCACATGTGGCTCCTTAAGTCTTTGGAAAACTATGCATTTTTGGAAAGCTGTGCTGCTTTTGGAAGATGGGAGAAGTTGGAGGCTGTCCCTTATCTTACTGAATCTCAGGGCAGGGAAGGAACAAAGCCGCAAAGGCTTGCCTTGGGATGGAAACTTGGTTAATGGCCCACAATTCTTGGTGAACTATTGTAAAGGGGATTGCTGAGATTGCCATGCTAAATTGCTGTGGTCACGTGATATCTATCAACTACAATTACAACTGTGCTACTTAGTGTTGAAAATTCTCATGTCGATGCGGTTGTAAGAACTACCTATTTGTAAGAGTTCTAAAGATATGAGGGGGTTCTTTTGGGAAAAGGGACAGACCGGCAACAAACAGACTATTCCCCTCCCCTTCCTCTGTGTTTCCCAAGGAAGCTTTTTCTTAAAAAAAAAAAAAAATCACCTCCTACAATACCACACAGCCATAGTTTATACATTCTTTGCAATACTTGTTTTTACCATACTTTGTAAATCTTATTTTAATTACCATAAAAAGTATTGTAAAACGTGGCTTAAACACAGAATAGCACTTGTCATTAAATTCAAGCGTATGTATATACCCATAAGATTCTGTAGAGTCTCACCATTAATTCTCAGAAAGCCATATTAGCTTTTATCCCCTTTATCTTACCTCTCTATTTTGATGTTCACTGACTGGTTGAAATCTTTGAGGAATTTTAAGCTGTTGCTCAAGCTTTTGTATTTCTTGCTGGAAAACATCTCTCTCATGCTCCCTATCAATTGCCTGTTCCTGAAATGTAAGCCATTACATATAGATATATATATATATTCATATTTTAATGGGAAATATCAAAACATAATGCAGAATACAGATAGTGCTGTTATGTCTTAAAACAATATTAAGCTAACTCCATAAAACCTTAGTAATTATTTGTGATAATTTAGAGCGTAATAAGAATTGTGTGTGTGTGTGTGTGTGTGTGTGTTTGTGTGTGTGTGTGTGTGTAAAGCTATTCTTACGGAACATGAAGTCCTTTCTGTACATTTACATACAACACTGCACAACGTAGACAAGAAATACACAAAGTAACAACATCCAATTTTTCAGATCCTTTGCAATGTAAACGTTATTACAATGCTAAATATGATATTTGATGGTAATCAGTTTGTTTACATTATTCATTAGAAATAAAATCCAAATAGATTCTCAGCAAATATATAAAATCAATGGCAATTTTAGCATAAAATTATGTTATTTGTTATGTCAGAAAGATCGTTTATTTATTTTATAAACTTTTTACACAGAAATCATTTTATGCTTGAAAAGCTAGAGAAGTCCAATTCTACTGGAAATGCTGCAATATTGTTTCAAATTATCAGAAACGCTTTACTCCTCAATCAAGGCTTTTTAAAGGGGTCATGCTGAAATTGGTTCAAACTAAAAATCATTGTTCACAGGAACAATGTATATATTAAACAGGAACCTTGTATATATTAAATTTATCATATTTTAAATAGGAAAACATAGCTATCTTATTTTTTTTAACAAATAACATGTTTATTGTGCTATTTTTTTTAAAGTATAAACTATGTATGACAAGCATTTTAATGCATTGTGCTAATTGATTTTTTGTTGAATTCTGTTTTTATTGGGTTGTAAATGATGCATGGGTTGAGTTCATCGTTTTACTTACATCTAGAAATTTTTTTGTTTTCTCAAGCTGTTTCTCTAGGGCTTGGTTTTTCTGCTTTAGATCCATTATCTCTGAATTTTTTTCTTGGTCTAGCTCCAAAAACTGGTTGAGCTGCTCCTCTAAATCACTTTCCAAGGCTTTCGCATGTTTTTGAAGAAAATTGTATTCTTTTTCAGCCTGCCGCTGCACTTCTATTTTTTCTTTCATTAACTTTTCTGTCTCTGACAACAACTCTGTTTAAGAAAGCATAACTTGTTATGTATGGATAGTTAATATTGTTCTATTAAAATAAACTCACTCCCAAGATTATGCTACAGCATAATAAAGGATGAAAATAACTTTGGGTTTCACCAAAATTATGTGATATTCTCAATACACAGAATAATAATGCCTGCATGGTTTAACTTTTTTGATAGAATTATTCTATGGTTCTACATTTATTTTCATCAATACTGCAGAAAATGTGTAATGGCATTAAAACCCAACTGTCTTCTCATCCTGTAGGGTTGTTCCAATTGAAACAAACATTCCCACAAATGACACATACAACATTTTGATGTAAAATAATTTAGACCTTCACCTGGTGAGTTATAGGAAGAAAAAGTATCCCAGATATTTCTTACCTTCACTTGGAATTTTCAATTAGTTTACATCCTCCCTCCAATTTTTTAAAGAAATTTTTGAAAGACAAATGGAAAGAACTTAAGAACTTAGGGATATTTTGCAAGGGAGCTATGACTGCAGCATATGAGACTTCACATGCTAAGACAATTCCCAATTTACTGAGGTAACACCATAATACATACATTGCTTACTGCACCATAATGCATACATTGCTTAATATTATATATATATATATAAGAAATAATGTAAAAATAATTTAATTATGTTATGTTTCAGTCATTTAATTGGTATACATGCTGTAATCACATTCATTTCTTAATTGAGAGATATTAAAAATAATAGATTTTTGGATTTAAGTCTTTGCCAAATGAATAAAAAAACATCACCAGATAATGGTCTTTTGGCGGGGTTTGTTTGCATCTTACTGTGTAGATTTTTGTACCCATTATCTTACATCATACTTGCTTCCTCAAATATCACACAGAAAGGCAGAGTTTTATTTGACAAAGATCTCTATTTTCAGTTTATTATACGAATGCAGAAATTATTAGCTGGTTAAGATGATGGTTATTGAAGTAATTTGCATTTTTAAAATATTAATATAGCACACTATATAATTGTGAGCAGTTGTTATTCAAAATAAAGGTGTGAACATTAAACACAGTATCAAAGCAGCAAGCTAGTAAAGTTAATGTCAGTAAGCTGAAAGCCCAAAAAGAGACCATGATTAATAAGTGTCAGTAGCTGTTAAATCTTCCACCCAATGAAAGATTTGCCATGCAATATACAAACACACCTGCTTGGGAAGCTGCATCAACTGCAGCATCTACTAGGCCTAGGAGAACAGAAAAAACAAGAAGCAAAGTAATTCACATGCCGTCTATAGCTTTCTCAAGCTGAAATATTATATGAGAAAAATGTAGTTGAAGACAGAAAATAGAGTTAAGTAAAATGTCCGCTGAATTTCTAAAAAGTGTCATTGATTTTTTAAACATAACTGTTAGATATTTTTCCCATGTTTACACTTATTTTTCTCTCAAATATTACAAAGAATATAATACTTTTATTATACATTATACATTATTATTTTATTATATTGTTGAATTAAAATGTGGCATACCTTCCTGCCATTTTTCTTATCTTCTCTCTTGTTCTATATCTATTCTATGTATCTACCATATCTCTTCAGTCTTTTATGCCTTCTATCCTCATCATTGCCAATCTGTACATACTTAACATAGTCATTTTATCTTTTGCCATTCTGCACAATCTGACCACCATCATATCTCTCCGAAACCATGTCCTATGCCAGTCTTTCTTCTTCCTGGTGCTTAACACCTCTCCCCTCAAATGTTTTTCCACAACATGTGTGCTCTGAACAAAGTCCCATATTTTTTGGAATATAAGACACACTGGAGTATAAGACGCAGCAAGATTTTGAACAGGCAAATTTTTTTAAAAAGTTTTTGCACTCTGCACACTTTCCAAAAAGGGGCTGTTTTTCACAAAACAGGCCCGTTTTTTGGAGGGGGTGTCAAAAAAGGGCATGTATATCTTTAGGAGGCTTGTAGAGTGCTTCTGAGAGCTGGGAGGGGCCAAAAATGAGCAAAAAACATTTTTATTTGTCAAAAAATGGGCACACATAGTCTTTAGGAGACTTCCAGAGTGCTCCTGGGGGCTGAGGGCGGGCAAAAATCACCTTGTTTTTCACTCATTTTTGCCCTCCCCAGTCCCCCAAGCGTACTCTGGAAGTCTCCTAAAGGCTATGCATGGCCATTTTGGTGAAGGGGGTGAGGTTTCAGGAGGCCAAAAATGCTGTATTCAGTGTATAAGACACATCCAGATTTTTCAGCCTTTTTTATGAGGGGAAAAAAGGTGTGTCTTATACTCTGAAAAATACGGTATGTGTGCTGCACTTTCGGCATAGATTACCCAATAGTGCCTAATTCATGCAGAGAATGTTTCAGGAAAATNGCAGTTAGACTTATATACCGCTTCATAGGGCTTTCAGCCCTCTCTAAGCGGTTTACAGAGTCAGCATATCGCCCCCACAATCCGGGTCCTCATTTCACCCACCTCGGAAGGATGGAAGGCTGAGTCAACCTTGAGCCGATGAGATTTGAACCGCTGAACTGTAGATAACAGTCACAGATGAAGTGGCCTGCAGTACTGCACCCTAAACACTGCGCCACCTCGGCTCTATGCTTTGCATATCAATAATCCATTTTGACTGATCTTTCAACAGAATATACATTTTTAAAAATCAATTCTAGTCATGGATATTTAATTAGGTGCCATTAAATTGGATGAAACCCTGTCAACATTATGGATAAATGAGTGTCATTTCTAAATGTGCTTGATGCTCCAGTTCAATTTTAAAAGGTAAAAAAGGAAAAGAATAGTTCCTTTTTCAGTTCTGCTGATAAAAGCAATTACATTAAAGAACTGCACTAAATCTTGCTAAATATAAAATTAGTATGTTATTAAATGCCCTTTCATCTATCAAAGCAACCTACAAATTATACAAAAACAGATGCAAAATTGAGCGAATGATTGTTTATTCCCAATAAGTGCTGCCTAAAAATACCTGGATCTGGGGAAATTCTCCCCATGTTACCCCCTGCATCTCATTGACTTTATATCCTGGAAATGTTTCGAAATGCTAAATCAAAATGCTTAGGACCACCCCATTACAAATCTATAAAATCTATTAGATATTAAATAATAATGTACATATTTATAAGACTCTTAAAAAATACATACGTTGTTCTATGGGTCCTGCATCAGCTTTCATAGCATCCTTTTGCCTGAAGAGCAATTCTTTCTCTTCTTGAAGATGCTGTCTCTCAGCCTCTAGTTCCTGTAATTTGTTACCTGTACGATGTAGCTCTTGTTCAAGATCCTCTATTACCTCTGTCTTTCCCTGGATTTGTTTTTCCAAAAATAATTTTTCATCTGCATAACTATCAATAAGAGCTATAGAAAAAGAGAGATGCCCAAATCAAGCACTGTAATTTTTGATTAAAATAGTCCAAAACCTTCTGAAAAAAATATGAATAGCATAGTCATAGCCCTTTTATTTTATACCAAAAAACTTTATTTTTCCCAAGTAATGAAAATTAAAATATTATCCTGCAATATTAATGATATATTAAAAATTGAAAATCATTTTTTTAAGTAGAATTTTTATGGCAATGAGTGTCAGTATATGAATATGATAAAACACTAAAACATATAAAGAATGGTTTCTGAAATTGCGTATGTCTAGTTAAAAGGGAAAAAGGGCTAGCAGTGACATGATAGCAGTCTTCCAATATTTAAGGGGCTGCCACAAAGAAGAATGAACCAATCTATTTTCCAAAGAACCTGAAGGCAGGAGAAGCAGCAATGGGTGGAAATTAATCAAGGAGAGAAGCAACCTAGAACTGAGGAGAAATTTCCTGACAGAATAATCAATCAATGGAACAGCTTGCCTCCGGAAGTTGGGAATACTCCAACACTGGAAGTTTTAAAGAAAAGACTGAGCAATTGTTTGTCTGAAATGGTAGGTTTCCTGCCTGAGCAGGGGGCTGGATTAGAAGACCTCCAATGTCCCTTCCAATTATGTTATTCTCTGTTCTGTATTCTACTGCGTATTCTGTATTTAGTCTCCATTGTTAAAACACTATTATAATGGAACTTTACTAAGACAATAGCCTAAAGTTGATAGAATTCCAGATAAGCATGGTTACCATTATTTTTCATTATATGTACAGTCTAATATGTATGTTTCCTTATTTATGAATAAGCTGTTCCTTCAATACATGTATTATATGATATAATATGGTGGTATCTATGCATTTAGAATTTCTAGATGATTGCAAATTGTACAATATTATAGTGTTAAATGATTATGATAGAAAATATTTAATTGGAAAGATGAACTGATATAAAAGATGTGATTACATTGTAGTCAACATACGTTTTTTCATAGCTGAAAAATGGTTACAGTTATGAAGTTACAGTATGATCTTTGTTATCCCCATATTTTACTTCTTACAATAAATATGTAACTCATAAAACTGATATATCCTGGTAACTAAGAACATTCATAGATATATAACTAAGCAAGCCTAACCATTCAGTTCAGAACTTTTTCTTTATGCTAATGTAAGTGATTTTAACATATAAATTGTTCATTTCTGAAAATATTTCTTGGAAATAATGATCTGTACTCTTTCATAAAATCTAAGTGGGGTTTATTGTTCAGTTTCATTTTTTAATAGTTCAAAATCTAAAAAAGTCAATAATGACACATGCACATTTGTATTAAATGACTGAATTTCAAACTATTATTTATTGCAAATATAACTTGATTATCAGCTAGGTAATATCTCAAAAAGCAATAATAAATATTAGTATGTTTATACTAAATATATTAAGTTGTGGATGAATAATTAAACAATTATATGTTCTCTTGCACAGATCAATATTATCAGTGTTGAATTATGTCAAAATATCCACTACTTAATGTTCCCAGCATGGCGCTTACTGATTAAAAATTCCCAGATTACGTATATGCAATAATATCAGGCAGTACTTCAAGAAATCTTCACATGTTAAATTTATTACTTCATAGTTGAATAAACACTTCAGTGTTAAACTCTTTCTTAGGAGGTTTTGTTAGTATCAAGTAGATTTTGTTTTTCACCAAAAAGATCCTCCAAGAATTAAATTACAGAATGTGTGTGTATGTTTATGAGGATTTGCACCAAATGCCCCACAATTAATATGGTAAAATTCCCCAGTGTATTATGTAGTAAAATATGTGTATATACTTTAGAAAGCTAGTCATTATAATGAATAACACACATATATAGATATCCATATGCAGCAGAAGGGCAAAGTTTTCGGGGGAAACTTTGCAATAAGAATATATATCAGAAGATTACATATATTTTACCATGCTGTTGATCAAGATGGTAATAAAGGATATAAACTTATCTATGAAAATATTGTATATTGCATTTTATATTATAAAATAACAATGTAATATATTAATCTGAATCTAGTAAATAATAATACATGTTGTTTTAAGAGTGAATCTATGAAGATCAGCCTTAGAAATTACTATATCCCCATTCAAGGCACTGATCATTTGTCATTCAAATTTTTAAAAATATTGATGCATTCAAAAAGTTGGGATCATGGACATTTTGGAGAGTAGCTAGCTAAGAAATGAAGTTGTATTTGAAAACATAAACGATATGTGTCTGTTTATATTTAACTATTGTTTGAAAAATAGTTAAAGAAAATAAGCCAATGCAAAAACTTAAATGCATTTGTTACCCTAAATGGTTCTTAAAAAGAAACATCCAATCAGCAATAGTATATTATATGTCAAAGAAATGCATTATAAAGGTTAAAAATCTAAGTCATATACTGAGTTACATGCTAATGGTCACTTATATATTGGATTTCTTTCTGCTTGCAATGTGCAGTATGCTCTACGGAGTACTGCTCTTGACAATTATTTGGGAGTTACAATGGACCCAGAATTTGCCAGTGTGGGTTTTATGGGTATTACCATAGTACACTCATATTAGCACTGACTTCCTATAGATTTCTGGCTGCAACTGAAGGTGGTTATTTTCTCTCAAGTGGTTCATGGTGCAATAGCAATAGCACTTAGACTTATATACCACCTTCACAGTGCTTTACAGCCCTTTCTAAGTGATTTGCAGAGTCAGCATATTACCCCCAACAATCTGGGTCCTCATTTTACCAACCTCGAAAGGATGCAAAGCTGAGTCAACCCTAAGTTGGTGAGATCCGAACTGCCAAACTGCTGGCAGCTGGTGATCAGCAGAAGTAGACTGCAGTACTGCACTATAACCACTGTGCCACCATGGCTCTTCCAATGCAAAATAATGGAAGCCAGGAAGCATTTCTGTATCAGTCTTTTGGAACAGCATACTGTTCCGAAGATTCAGTTAGATATACCCTGCTGATCTTTATAAGACTTTATAAATTCAGTTTTTCCCTGATCATTGAAATAGCATGTTGGATGAACGTATCTGGAAAACTGGTTTAAGAGTTTGTATTTTTGGTATTTGTGTCATAGGATATTGTGAATTGTGCCATAGTATATTATGTTTTGTGCCACATATTGTGGCACAATATTGTGATATTGTGTTTTGTGGCTTTCTTATAATTTATTCATCTTAAGTTGTTTTCAATCCATGTTAATTATCCAGGGTCACATTTTGTGAGATAGTCAGGAATAAACATTTAAATACGTAAATATGCTGATCTAATAAATCTAGAACTTTTATTAGGGTACAGTATGCTAAAAAATTACAACTTATGAACTGACATCCCCTATTTCCTCTTTATAATATCCTATTATCATGTCTATATATATTCTCTCTTGAATGATGGTTGCTTTTATTTCTTTGTGATTGAATCAATTTTCTACTCATTTGTAATCTCCTATTTTCAACTGTAAAAAAAGCATAAACTATCTATAACTGCCTGAAAATGTATATAATTAAAGTATCTACTTTATAATTTTGGATTAGGGAGAACTAACAATGTATAATTATTTAAAGAACTATATTACAAACAAATCAATTACTTACACTCTGCTGTGCTAAGTTCCCGTGCTATCTGCTCTCTAGCTCTGACCTCTTCATCAAACCTTTCTTGCAATTCTTCCTGACATTTGGTTAATTCAGTAGCTTCATGTTCCCATTTAAAGGATTCTTGCATCAATTCTGTTTGTGTAGCTTTTGCATGTTCAAGCTAAAACATAATTTAAATGTTGCAATATTTAATGTACATTTTTAAAAGTCCTATATAAGAACAATGTCAAGTTTGGGAAATTTACTTGAAATGAGAAGTTTATTGCTGTCATACATTATGGATAACAAGATAAACAAATATTTGTACAATGAATAACTTTGCCATATGACCGTATCCGTAAAGTACCGGATCTTGAGCCTATCCAGTTTACACTAAAAAGAAAAACTTGAGTTATTAATATAAACTTCAGCATATACTACCCATAGTATTTTTTATTAAATTGATGACCTGAATTGTTCAAATTAATTTCAGGTCCCAAATTAATCCACATTTTGATAGTTTTGTGCCTTTTTCACTGATCAGAGAATACTATACGTAGACTTGTAAGCACTCAATTATTTAACAACTTTGATTAATTAATCTTAATTAAAAAAACTTATGATCAGTGCATTTCTAAAACTTCTTTGAATCATTATTATTCATAGTCTATATTTTCCACTCACTGTTTTGAACTTGATCTATTTAATTAATAGTCTTAAAATGATATGTCATAAAATGGTGTAATATCTTTATTTCTTAAACCATATATCAAAGATCAATAGTTCACTTCCTGCAAATGTCTAAAATTCTGCCTCTCTAAACTCAGTTATCTATAATATTTGTTAGATTAATATATATCAACCTCCTTAAAAATGTGATCCTTTTCTTTACATCTGATGAGCAGATGAATCTAGCAAGAATGTGAAACTACAGGCATTTCCCCTGCTACTCAAATTACAAAATGACAGAACATACATTTAGTTACTTTCAGAAATAAAACAGCACACCTATGTTTTTCTTAGTATAGTTAATGATGAATACCTATATCATTCAACATTTGTGACTAACAGACTACCAGATATGTCTTGAATAAACTCTGGGAATTTATCCAAGAGAAATATTAATATAGTGACTGTCAATCAATATTTAAATAATAATTAATACTACATGTTAACAATGAAGACATGATCTAAATACATGAAACAAATTCCTAAGATCTGTACTTAAATTGAAATCAGTAAAACTGGTAGTTACATTTTCCCTTTATAATATACAGTTACTGGTTTCAGCTCATCACTGTCAGCACAGTATTTCAGAAATCAAACTAAAGACTGGCTTATTTTTATATAATTTATTTAAAAACAATTTAAATTTTTAGAATTTACAAATTTTAAATTCAATTTAGGTAGATGCACCGACATCATTAAAACACATGCTAAAGTACACATTAAACAATGATGAATTTATTTTCTTCAATTCAAATAGGTAAAATGAAAGTTTAAATTATTATTAAGAAGTGTACTAATACACTTAAAGTACTATATACTAAGAATGTAAATGTATAATATGTAAATATAAATATTTAAAATCTACATTCACCAGTTAAAAATGGTCAATATGCATTGATCCTCACTTTTTAATAGATTTTCCATTGTCAATTATAATAATACTGTATTGTAGAAATGTTCTTTTGCATTCCTAAACTTCTATATATTGAATCTTTAAAATTAATTGTGGTAGTTACATTATTAGTTTAATTAGCTTCAATTCAGTTACATGAAGCTTATATAAAAGAGTTAAAGTGGCCAGCACTAAAATTAGTAGCTTTCTAGAAGATATTATATCAGGAATTCTTTACAATGAATAAATCAACAATTTGAAAGAAATCTGATTAGGTACTTCTGCAAAATTATACCAGACATAAAAATATTGTTAGATAACACACATTTACAGTAATCATGTAGAAGTAAAGAAAAAAATTATCTATTTTGTCATACTTACTGAATAAGGGGGTATAGGCAAAGAAATTTTTGAAACAATTCTTAATCTATGTCCATTTTTCTTCTGCTTTACATAAAAAAGTGATGTATTGAGAACCACAGAATTATTATCATCCAATTGGTCAGTAAAAGGAAAAGGAAAAGGTAAAGGCACACGAGATTCGACTTCTAAAGTATTTTCTTCTTGAATTTTTTCAGACCTTAGACTACTATAGATATTTGATTCCCAGTATGCACGGTAGGAATCCATTTCGTGCAGTTCTTTTTCATGAAATAACTTCACTTGATTAAATAGCTTTAACTGTTCTGAGTGAATTCACAATGTAGTTGAATAACTATCTGTCTGTTGCAAAGAGCAAGGAATTATAAATTCACACTCAGGTGAGCAATCCAAAAACACTAGGAAGTTCCAGTTGAAAAAAAAATAAAATATGTTTGCAGACCTCACAGAACTGACATTTCCTCTCATTAAATAAAAGGAAAACCAAATAAATCATTCATCAACACAAAAGATTATCTTCATAATTGGTATTATGGTATATTTGCAGCCAGACCATAAAAAATATATCCTGCAGCACCTGTCAATACGCCACTGAAGTAAGACAATAACATACTAAATTAAGACACTATTTAATCTTTTTTTCCCTTAAGTGTAGAAAAAGCAGCTCTGAAATCAGATAAGCTTCTCTGTACAAAGCAAAAGCTGTGTCTCAATGGGAGGAAAAGGTCAGAACAGTAATATAGGAGTGGCTAAATTACATTACAGCAGGTACACAAGGATTTGGAATTTGAATTAACACACCCACATCCAACCTTGTTCAGCAAGATTCAAAAGCCAGGTCAGAGTTCATAAATGAATGTTTGAAAGAATTAAAAAGTTTTATGACTGCCCGATTCATTTCTTAATTGCTTTTTTAAAAAGTCACACCCAGTAAATAAATAGTTTCTACTTAGTATGTCATACTTAAAATAATTTAATTTTACTTAATTTAAACTAAAATTGACACAAATTAATAAAGAGAAGACTGAAGAGGTAGCAGTACTCCTCAATATCTAAATCTATTGCTTATCATTGCAGAATGCCAGATAAGGAATAATGCACTGACATTATTGATTCCAACTTAACGTAACAATAAGGGCAATTCAACATGAAACAAATTCCAAGAGAGATGGTAGACTTCACTCATTGTGTTTAAGCAGAGATCAGACAGCCATCTGAGATACTTTGAATCTGGATTCTTGCACTGCACAGATATATAGATTCAATAGATTCTAAACAGACCCTACAAAGTTTATTTATTCATGTGAGTTTTGTGCATCTAGCAAAATTGTTGCTTGTAGAAAGTAAATGAGTTACTCGCTATAAATTTGATCTGTTTTTAGAATTTTTCTGTCATAACACATTATCCATATAATATTTCCTTTGGAATTTGTGACATAGTAGAAGATAAACAGCAAAATAATCATTACATAGTACATCTTGTGATAAAGGAATCACAAAATATGACATTAATGGTCAACCTTTGACTGACAATCTTTGCTTGCTGACTTGAAAGACAGTACAGATGTTAAGATACTGAATTGTCAGAATGGAACTTGATAGAGATAATATAGTTTTCTTGGAACATAGTTGTGCTTATAAAGTTAAAAAGTGTTCCTGACCATAATAATTTTGGGGAGTAGTGGGAGGAAAAGGGAGGTCCACTGTAATTACTGCAAATATATATGTGTATGTGTATGTGTATGTGTGTGTGTGTGTATGTATGTATGTATATATTTGTATGTATGTATGTATGTATGTATGTATGTATGTATGTATATATGTATGTATATTTCAGAGAGAACATTTTTTTGCTTCAAACTTAAATAATAGCCATTTTAAAAATTATCTTTATTATAGGTTCATCACTCTTTTCAAACAACATTTTCTTTTCAATTATAAATGCTATCCTGCTCAACAAGAGGAAAATATATTTAGTACAGAAATTTTGGATTGTATCTTGAAATGTGCCTTTTCTATTATTATTCTAAACATCAAGTTGCTGATGAGAAGTAAGGAGAATAAAAACATTTCAGTATTTTATAGAATATGCTTTGGAATAATGAGAGCATTTACCACAATATGGGTCTATAAGTTTTGAAGTAGTTGTGCTTTTTCCTAGAATCTCAGCAGCAATTGCAACAGGTTCTTTTTTAAAAAAATCAGATAATTTATCTTGTTGTAGATACTACATTTGTGTTTCTATACATTCCAGCTTTTTGGAAACTATCTTTTCCAACTGAACAAGCACCTTGAAACATACTAATAGCCTGACAAAAGGCCTTTCAAACTTATGTTTCAACTTTTTAAATGGAAATACATTATAAATAAAATATCTGAAAAAGAAATGCAGCTTTGATTCTATATAAACATTGATTGAAATAATATTTAATTAATATTTAACATCATGATGTCACAATATGGGGTTAAAATAAACTAACTTGTAATCATAATAAAAAGTCTGTGCAAAAAACTACACTCAGAAATTCTTTTTTTTAAAGGAAACTAAAGAGATTATGGAAATTGGAGGGCGGAGCCTGGATGCCGTGACGAGACGACGTGCGATCTCAAAACTCTGAGATCACACTCGATACTTTTATTGCTGGAGGGTTCCAATGGACCTAAATCATCCCGAAGAGATGGTGAACAGAAAGATCACATGTTGCTGATCTCGGGGATACTGCAAAATCTCTGAGAAAAGCGGGTCTAAAGTCTTCTGCTGGCAGTAAAAATTCCAGTCTTTCAAGGTTGACAAAATCAGGGCAATATGGAAGAAGTGCTAAGCTGGTGAGAGAAAAAAAACAAAAACGGACTGCCTAAAGTTTTTTAAAACTAACTTAAGTCAAAGAATAGAAGAACTTAGCAGCGATTTTGATATTTGTAATGGTTCTGGACAGTGGTTATCTTACTTTTTAAATGTTATTTACATGGATTGATTCTAAGTAAACCTTTTCAAATGGATGGATTATTCTAACATTTCTTCTGACTCTCTGTAAGCTATAAATTGTCTGTTTACATCTTAACACTTTTATTGCTTGGCTGTTCTGGCTTAAGATCTGATAAGATTGTACAGCTGTTCCTTTGTAGTTTTGCTTTCACTGGCGAGTGTTTCAGTTTTGCTGAGCTTTTAAGAAAAAATGCAACTGTGTATATACATGGCATCTCTTAAAGCCTCTCTCCAAGCGATACTTTCAGCTTTGAAGAGGGTGTCTGATACAGAGGAAAGAATTAAAAGAAAATTGGATTATTTGGTCTATTTGGCAACAAATTGTGATGAAAAAACAGAGGATGTTCATCAAATACAAAATAAG